AGCTAAAAATATGCAGTTAAATCGAAGCCAACTAACCTACTGACTGCTGATTTAACTTACAGTCATAAATTGCATACATACGAAAATCAAATAATAACCAAATTTAAAGAGGGAGAGCCAAATTCAAAAAACAGGTATTAAGTAAAAGAGAATTTAATTTGAAATTAAGTTTTAATGCATACTTTAAAAGCTTATTCGTAAGAAATTTGTTGGATGGAAATAAAACATTAATTCGGAATTTGATACGGTTCGATAAGCGAGTAAAAATTGAAATACCTACAGTGACGAGCAAAACTGTAACATGGAGTAACACCTTTTCTTTCAGCTGTCGCTATCTTTCCAAGTTCTAACGACATTCATACTGTTGTTCTGTATTTTTATTGGTACATCTTTGCTTCCTCTGTCATAACGATTTGAAGTCAATTCAACAACATTAAAGAAACCAGCAGACAAAAATGTAAATTAAGGCATATGTTACAGTTTTGCACTCATGTATTTTTAATAACTTTTTGACAATTTTCACAAAAAAAAGAATTATTAACACAATGTTCAGTATTGTTTTGCTTTATTTAGTTTCTGGTTGCAATTTGGCATACCTAATGTGCATGTCTGTAAAAATTCTGGAGGTATAGCCTCCCATATGTCCTTGGTTTGCTTTCACAGCTCACGTACTCCATTGGACGGACTTGGATACTTAGTAAGATGCGCTTTTAGTTGATTTCGCAAATTCTCGATGAGATTCATGTCCTCGGATTGTGGAGGTCATTTCAAATTAGCAGATTTCTGCTTTTGTTCCAGTCTTTGCGAACATGTGCAGTGTGTTTGGGTTGCTTTTTCAGCAGAAACTCTAATTTTTTCGACTACATCTTGCAAATTTTGTTGAAATATGAACAGATACTGTTCCTTACGCATAATACGTACAAACGGATCAACAACATTTTTGAAATACAACCCCAAACTAATATTGACCGACCACTGTGATTCACAGTTTGCCTTACATGATGCGCTTAGGCTTAATTTGGGCCTTTGTTCCAATACCATGCCCGGCCATCTGCTTAAAAGCTATTAATTTAGTCTTGTCAGACCACATAAGCCTCAATTAAATCTTAAAAATGTGTTTTTTATTGCGTTATGTAAGGCCTAACATATCCCAATAGGCAACGGTCCGGTTTTCGCGCGATGCAGCAAAACGCTGCCCCACTCTCGCATGTATTTTGATCAAATTTGCTTTTTTCTTCTTTTATGATCCATTTTGCTCAATTTGGCAACTTTTCGCCTCACTATCTACTGATTTGCATTCAATTTTAATACCTTAAGCGCTTCTGTAGTAGTGCCTGCAGCGCTACTTGCTACTAAGTTCACAAGATATCGGACTGTAATATATTTTGACAGACTTCCTTTGTCCTTAGTAACACTTTAGGCTATATTTTTTCTTAGTCTTAACATTTTCATGTGGCAAACTCCACATTTTTTTGCCACTTTCCCTACGGTCCCGCCTTTTCGCAGTAAATCTATTATTTACATTTATGTTTCCTGATTAACCATATTATTTATTGGTGATCACTTCTTGAATAAACTACAATACAGAAAAAAGTCATCTGACTTCCAACTAAGCAAAAGATAACTGTAAAATGCAAAACTGAGAATGAGTGCAAAACTGTAACATTTGCCTTAACTTTCATTTTTGTCTCCAGGTTTTTTTATTGTTGTTGGATTGACCTCAAATCGTTATGAGAGCGGGAGTAGGGATGTACCAATAAGAATATAGAACAAAAGTGTGAAAGTCGTTAGAACTATGAAAGATAGCGGTGGCTGAAATAAAAAGTGTTACATCATGTTACAGTTTTGCTCGTCACTGTATGTACATACATAAATGCTTACTCATATACTACATACATACATATGTATGTAGAAAGTACGCATGTAGAGTGAAACCCCCTTAAGTACATCCCGATAAGTAAGCTAACCAGCTTAAGCAACACACATAATTTTTTTTTTATTATAATAAATCAAATATCTCGTTTATGGAGGAAATTCCTTTAGAAAAGCAAAATAAATCTATTTGTTTTACACTTCTTATTTTCCCTGCATATTGAGAATATACTGTAAACGAAAAACTAATTTTAACCGTTCACTAAAAAACTGGCCTCAAATACAAAGAGCACAATACTCAACGAGCTAAAGCACTTAATCGTTAGTGCGGAGGCCAGCACACCAACTTTAAACGTGAATATCTTAAAGCTCCATTTTTGATTGATCTGGTTGAAATATTGAGCTGTAAAGCTAATTTTTTTTTTTTGGGAAAGCTAAACTTACGGCATATTCAACAAGGTAGAAATTATTTCGACAGTACTCCTTTTTGGACAGTGACTGAAATGCTAACTATAGAACAAAATATTTGAAATCTTGTGGACAAAATTAGAAATGCTAGGTATAATAATTGTGTAAAATTAATGACAGCCCGCCTCTTCTGGCTAAAGCAATCCCTAATGTTCCCCTTCGAATATCAATACACTTTCGACCTGCGTTTTTAAAGCCACGCAAAACTAATTTTGAATTAAACGACGCATTCCATTGTTTGTGTCAAGATTTTAAAGCTTATTCTAGCACGTTTGAGATATATCGGACTCGATTTTTACTGTAAAGAATGCTTTACTTTCCTCTATCATAAAATGAAGTTATAGGGGTACTCCCGTGGTCTTGCAAAGCCTTTGTACGGAGCACGGATTGCAAGATGGAAACCGGTTTTCTTACAGGACAGCTTTGGAAACCAGTCCGTGCACCGTGCTAGGGCTTTGCAAGACTGCGAGAACACCCCTAATGTTTTTAGCATATCAAATAGCTGAACAGTTTTAGATCTCGACACAAGCTTCTGCATTTTATGACAAGGCACAACAAAAAATCAAAAAAACCAAAAAATTCTGGGCTGGAGTAGGGTAAAAGCAATGGCATTAATTAAAATTAAAATAATTAAAATAAATAAATAAAGTACCTAAATAAAACTGCCGAAAAAACAATAGAATGTTTGGGAATGTTATTAGAACGCCTCGTAAACATTCAAATTTGCATTTTTTCTTATTTTTCGCTTGTACGTATAAGAAGAAATTTGTCGTTTGGCATTTCAAACCTTAAGCCCCTCTAGTCTTATTTTTTTTTTGCACATGTCAATAGAAATTTATAATTTTCGAGCTACGAAAGATATTGCACCCCTTAACCCTTTGTCTACCGCGAAAAAAAGTAGCATTGCCTACCGTTCGGGTATAATGGACCCTTATGTAAGTAACAATGTGGGTCCAAAGGATCCAGACTGGTAGTTCCGCTAGATTTACAATAGCAATACCAATTATTAAAAAAATTAACATTATCAAAAAGTATAGACTACATAAAAATAAGCAAAGTAAAGGAGCTACAGAGCTAAAAAGCATTAGATATTGATGTCGGAACCTCGCCGGTAGACAAGGGGGTAAGCATATGGTCAAAAATATTGTAAGACTTTAAACGAAGATCTTTGGTTTTGTTAAAATTGATATACATATATAATAACATAATATGATACTGAATTCCAAATATAATAAGTACATAAATATGAAGATATTTAAACTTATTATAAAAGCTTCAAAAATTAAAAAATCAGCTGGTTAAAGTATACAACCTGGCCGAGTACCTTAACTCTTCTGCAATGATTGGGTCCAAATGACCCTAATTTCAAGAAAAAAAATTTTATTATATATTTAACTAATTTCAATCAAGCTTTGGCATAATATATTCATTAATATCATCAGTGGCTATAGTTCTCGGGCGAATTACAAATATTTTTTTTAAATTTCTTTACAGAAAAGTGAAACAATTTTTGCAGATTATATAGGCTTTTTTAGTTTTAATGTCTCAAATATACATATGTATATCTGGAATACTTAGTCTTTACCTAGTGGAACTTGCAAACCAGGTGATGAATTTGCAAAAACTTTCTTGGAACGAAATGAGATAAAGTGCAGCATTGGTTTTGTCCATAAGCATTCAATACAAGAAGATATTTAAATACATGACTGCAACCAAAGACTTATACAAATACACAAAGTGTATTTTTGTAAAATTTACACAAATATATTGGAAATTCATAATTTAATAAAACAATTACTGAATTTAAATTAAAATAATGGGCTTTTGCCTTAAAACTGATTAACTTCTAACATTGTAGCAAGTGGTTAATTCGAAACAAACAGAAGTGTTAAAAGTTTGCATTTTCGAGTGGAGCTTTAAACCGGGTTTTACTGCAAGTATATTAACTTTGTTAGTAAAAAAAATTACATAAGCTTTGCATGTTTGCAAGCGTTTTTCGCGTATTGCTCATATTTATTTAGCCAGAGCAGTGCAGTTTTTGATACCACTACGCTAGGCTTGCACTGTTATAATATTATTTTTTTCATAAATATAGCACAACCAATATAATATTAATAACTCTTTTAATCTCAACATTTGTTTTCGCTTTTAATTGTTATTTATGTATTTGGCTTTCTACTCGTCGTTTCCTTTTACACATTTTTTTCGCACAAACTGAATTCAATCGAAAGCTATGTAGTATTTAAGATGTGGGCCGAGGGGAAGTGGAGCCGATTTGCGGCCTGAAGTGTTCAAATGTGGTTACTTGGAGGGGATTGCTTCATTTCTGGTTTCACGTAAATTCAACGATTTAAATGATTAATTGGATGTTTATAGACTTTTATTTTCTTTTTAACATTTTCGCCATTTAGTTTCATTTAAATTTTTTTCATAAACCTTAACTCAAGTGTAACCTTGAAGTAAGCATCAAATCATTGGCAGATAGTATATCTCAACAAGACTTTCATATTAGGATAAAGGGTTAAGTTATGAGGGGGTGCAGGTAACTTTATACATACTACATATATAATGGCAATTTTTTTTTTGCGAAAATCTAATTGCATACTCGTATGTATGTACATATGTACATACTAATATACTTTTCTAACTGTAATACATACACAAACGCACAGCGATTTGCACAAACACGAAAAAATTCGGGCACAAACGAAAACGACAGCGTTTCAAGTGACGAAATGACGCTACGACCAAATGACGATGCCGACAACAATACACAACGGATACGAGAAATTTGCCAACTATGTACTACACTCGGTTTGGTTGGCGAATGATGATGGCTTACAATTGAAATTGCGTTGACTATGGACCGTCACGAAATGTACAAGAAAAAATTTTGTTGTAGCGTTAAAAGACGAAGTCACCAAATCCGGCTGCTCTGTACCGTTTTTTGGGCGAAAAAAAAAAAAACGCGCACTAAGTATTTCACTTTAACACTTTTTTTTCACAGACTACTATTTATTTTGTGCAAACACTTTTGTTAATTAGATATCAAATTTGCAATTATTTGCACATATACAACAATTATTTCGCTTTTTTCGTAACTCTGTACAAGCGAGCCGAACACCGAAGGCGAGGTTAGCGTGCGACTTGTGCGAAAGATGCGATTGGACGACAACACGAAATATACGCGAGAAATCGTCAACAAACGAACCGTTCGTAAACACGCTCCAACTAAAACTGAACCGACTGCCGATTGACTCCAATACTTTGGGCTGCAGGCGCTCCATCAGCCATCAGCTAACTCCAATAGCAGTAGCGAAGGCACATTTTCACCAACGTACAACGTACTGAACGATGCTCACAAATTGGAGTAGTAGTGAGCGAGTAAATGTGCGCTGGGTGAGTAACAGAACGAAGTCGAAGTCGAAACAATTAACAGCAGTAACAGTAGCCCCAACGAAGCGTATGTATATAGATGTACGCACATTCATATGTATGTATATCTGCAAATGTGTATATACATATGTTTGCCTTAGCATAGTCACGACGACCTCGCCGGCTCCAACGTTGTTGAAATTCATATGCACAAGTACATACATACGTACAAACACACACCTTCTCCCCTCCCCCCAAACACAGAAATGTGTTCAACTAACATTCGTGACTTTGTCGGTAATTTAATGTTTGATCATCGGTGAGTGGGGTTTTGTAAAATATGAAAAAGCAATAATGAGCACTGAAATATGAAACACAAAGCAAATGATTGCAAGATAATTTAGTGTTGTTGTAGCGCTGCTACTTGATAAGTGTGATTAAATTGAGTTGAGATTTGATTTCTAATGTTGATGAAGGAGAAAAATGTCGGAAAGAAGAGATGTGGCTGATTGTGAATTGCACACATACATTGTATATACATATGTACATAGATACATATGTATGTATTTTGCAAATTAAAAATAAACTGAAACTAAGCGCTTTTCACGCTGCTGTCAAATCCGAATACTAACACGAATCTTCGCTATAATTGCAACAAAAAATAGTAAACAGCAAGTACATTTAACAGCAACACAACTTCGCACTCGCGGAAAGGCAAACCTAACAGCATTCAACAATGTTAACAGCGCAATGTAAATAAGAGTTATGTTATAGGGCTACACTTCCGGAAAGCTGTTAAAAGCGCTGTTAATGTACACTGTTAAACATCTGATATGTTACATACGCGCGCTCTTTTCACTGCTTCGTACAATTATAGCAACTTTTCAACAATCAACAACTGAAGATGCGCTCAATGCCTGCACTCTTAATTAATGCATTCGCCTTGCATCGGCGACTTTTCTACAATGCAGCGTTTGTTTTTGCATTGACATAGTAGATATGCTGTTACTCACGCCCTGTTAACCACAATTGCTCCACACTCACTCCTATTTCACTTCCGCTGTTTTGTTTAACATTTGATACCCATGCCGCAACAAATGTTGCTAAACAAGTTTTGATGCCGGAAAGAAAAGTCAACACTTCCGGCTTTATTGTTGAACTGTACCAGTGGGTTGTTATTGTTGCTGTGTTATCGAAATTGGAGTTGAAAAAATGTATAAACTAAGAGCTGGCATGTGTAGAAATTTGCGCTCTTAATCGGAAAATTAAGAGCCTAGTGGAGTTCAAGCAGAAAAACGATTTATGCATTTTATTTTGCATACAAAACAATTTTGTTGAGAAATGTGACAACTGGGAGCGGCTGGGCGTAGAGATGCAACAAGCGTTTCTGTTACTGGCAAACTGGTTTTTATTTTTATCTATTACATCGGTTGAGAAAATGTTTAGGAAGATTAGGTAATTTGCCTTCGAGCAGATTGAGTCATTTGTTGAGATAGTGTGGAGGAGTAAAGAATTTGTGTAGGGGAAAGATATTAATTTTTAGGATCTTTTTTTTAGGAATTACCGCAATTAATGATATTAACATAGTATATCTGTACGGAACAGAAATATCCATGGAGGGCGACTTAAAACCAAATTATGTTAAACGAACATTAGGGTGGTCCAAGCAAAGTAAAGTCGGGATTTTAACGCTCTCACCCCTAAGATTGTTTTATAATGAAAATAAATAAACCTCTGTTGCAACTGTTAAACATGTCATATGTTGTATGCAGAAAAAATTTTCGTTAAAGAAAACCAGCGATGGATACAATTTTTTCGTCATATTTTTGAGAAATAATATTTAATCACTGCCTTATTTTTACGGGAATAAAACCAGATTTGCAGCTAATGAACAAGGCGTATTTTATAACCTAGCCCAACAAAATTTTAACAACTGCATTCGACACAACCAATGACCACTGGTTCTTAAATAATTTTTTTCGAAGAATCAGAATCTATCCTTCATGTATTCAATTGGCTGTAGGTTCTGAGATATTGGGAATTCCAAGTGACAAAAACGGAATTTTGTTATTTTTTCACTTCTGCAGAAAGACATAAAAGTGGAATATAATCTTTCGGCCAGTATAAAATAAAAGATTAAATATTGGGCTTCTAGCTTCAAATAAGAAGTTAGATTCCTAAAGCATGTGGCTTTAAAATTTGATTTAAAAAACAGCAAATTTATTTAATTTTATTTCATTGAATTCAATTAAATTTTGTATAAGTTTTCTTTTAGGAGTTCAATTTACATATTAAATATTTCAAAAATGTTTGAATAATTAAAGAATAAGTAAATATGTTGAAATTTTTGTAAATTGTATTAACCCACTCCGATATAGTCATTCGAGAAGAATATATTCGGCCTTTTATAATATAATAGTCATATTTTTTATTTAAAAAATTTGTTTTTGTTCCTCATTTTTGCGGAACATATACTTTTTTTCTTTGAAGTAAAGCGTAAATGCTGTTCAAAATATTCAATTTTGCATCCCTGTTCTACTACAAAAGTTCAAAAAATAAAAAAATGCGTTTAAAAGTCAGATCCCTAATCCACGACAAAAGGCTTCTAGGAATCAGCTCTCAAAAACTCGACCAAAAAATTTTGTTGGCCAGTGTTATGAATGTTCAAAATTTAGAAATTTTAATTCCGGTTTACTAATGTTAATTTTAATTTTAATCTTAATATTAACCTTAATCTTAATTTTAATTTTAATCTTACTATTAATCTTAATCTCATTCTTAATCGTAAACTTAATATTAATCTTAATCTTAATCGTAATCCTTTTCTTAATACTAATCGTAATCTTAATCCTAATCTTAATCTTGATCTTGATCTTAATCTTTTCTTCGTCACATCAGTGTTGGCTAACCAAGTGCAAAGAACTTTCTCTTTAAAGAAAAATTTTTAGTCAATAAATTTACTTTAACTTTATTATTTTTTTGACACTGAAAACAATTGCACAACGACTAGCTGTCAGAGATAATTGCCTCGGCAATATGAAAAGCGGCGAAAAAACAATAACTTAATATCTGTAATTTTATTTAAAAGGCAAATACATTAACAGTGATCATATAAATTGCTGTACATTTACAATGAGAAAAAAATCAACCAAAAATTGGTTAATATTACCAAATTCGAACTTGAAAAGGAATCAACGTGATTTCTAGTTAATATTAACAATGCCTTGTTTGATATTTTCAACAATGATTTGGTAAAGTTAACCACATTTTTGTTTACTTTAACCAAACTTTCGGTTGTCGATTTTTTTGTTTGAATACGTTTATCTTCTGTACTTCACAGATGCTCTTTCATAATATGGAGATACAAAACAAAAATGTTTATTATCTTTTCAACACGTTTCCTCTGACGGAATTTGAACCCGAATCTTCTGAAAGTTAGCAAATAATAGCAAGCATCTCTGCACACTCAGCTACAGTCGCTTTATTGATGTGTTTTCAAATTTTCAACTTGAATAAATTTTCTTCGTCGTTTGATTTGGTTATGCACTTTACATATGCTTTTTCGTAAAATAAAACGTATGAGTTGCGCTTGACGGCATTCGTACTTGAACCTGCTGGAAGCCAACAAATAACAGCAAACACCTCTGCAGGTTCAGCTAGAGCCAGGCATATGAATTTGTAAAAAGTATGTTGTCAACCCGCAAACGGATATTCATATGTATGTATAATGTGACCAACCGCACTTCTTTCGGAAGTACAGTACTTCTTTTTTCGCTCTTGGACTTCGTACTTCGAAGTACAGTCAAATGTACTTTTTTGCTTTAACTAACTGGTTTCAGAATCTCCTGTACTGGTTTCAGATCCTGTACTTCTCCAATTTTCTGGACCATCGCCTCATGGACTGTGCGATAAATTCTTTCAAACCATTAAAGTCACAGGGGACCGTCATGCAATTGGTTGGATCATATTTATGCGAAGCGTGAGGACCGGGTACATCGCCAAGGCTTGGAGTTTAGTCAGTGTTGCGTTCATCCCGAAGGCCGGAAAAGGTTCTCATGTTTCCCCTAGATATTTTAGGCCTACCAGTCTGTCTTCATTTTTGCTAAAAACGTCAGAGAGACTGATAGAGTTTACAGAAGAAACGCGATTCCTCGTGACTGTCTTTCAAGAGCTCAACACATTGGTACCATTCCCGCATAAAGATTATGTAGTAGGAGCCTTCTTCGATAGCGAGGGGGCCTTCAACAATGTCACTCCAGATTCAATAGTCAAGTATATTCATAATCTGGGGGTTGAAACCAACCCAATAAGGCTTATCTACAGCTTACTTCGTAACAGAACTCTCGCGGTGGAGTGGGGGAGGCCTACACTCAGTGCAGAGTCATTAGGAGCACTCCACAAGGTGGTGTTCTCTCTCCACTGCTCTGAATTGTGGTTGTAAATGGCCTTCTAGAGAAACTGGAAAAAGTGGGCTGTCGGGTGATAGCCTATGTAGATGATGTGGAACTTTTGGTTAAGGGACGAGTTCTAGACACCCTTTTTGATCTGGCTCAAGGTTATCTGAACCAGGTAACT